ATGCAGAACATTTTCTTCATAAGCTTTGTTATGCCAGTTGACCTAGATGTCCCCTGAAAGCATGGTCCCCAGAGGGGACCTGCTACTCTGTCCCTCACGGTGTTTGATTGTATTCAGGAAACTTCTTAGCTTTGGTTTAATCGAGTTATACTGACTTCCCATTACACCTACGATAATTCTTATCTGCTGTCTAGTTAGTAAATAACCCTCACTCTCCCTCTCCACCCTCGTAACCATCAAAGAATGTTTTCTTCTGAGACACCACACAGTAATTTGAACAGGTAGAGTTTAATGTAAAAAAGTATTAGCTGTAGTGAGTGACTGGCTTGCTATTCCAAAGAATAAAGAACATAGAAAGAGTAGATATAAGGAGTAGCCTCTAACCTAGGACTGACATAGAGTTCCCAAGGAACAGACCCTGCCAAGGGTTGAGATCCAGACGTTGTTGAAGAGGGCATGTCTGTCGCTCACTGAGTGGCAGAGAAGCTGCTCTCTGGAAGTTTCTGAAATCCACCCTTTGAGGTGATGGGGAAAGCTGTCCATGGGGTGATGTCTCACTGGACTCACTTTGCTATGAAACTGCCCAAGAGGGTTTGGGGGTGTTGCTAACTGTTGGGTGCTGCTAGCCCTTGTGCATGAGCCTGGTTCTGGAGAAGGCCACACTGCTGCAGGATCCTGCCAAGTGAAGCAAAACTCTTTCCTCCTGCAAGTGTCTCTTTATCTACTACAGTGACAGTTTGCAAATGAAAAACATTTGAAAGGCTCAGATCCATTTTCACAGAGTGAGCAAAGGGGTGAATTTGGAGCTATGAGAGGCAACAAATCAATAACAGGCCCAAATGCTATAAAGGAAATGAGAATAACTGGATGCCCTAATTTAGATTTGGTGGAATACTAGAGAAGGTCTCTCTGAAAAAATGACATTAAGAACAGATGTTTGTGTAGTATCTGCTCAGCTGAAGAATATAAGGAAGAACTTTCCATGCAGTGGTCAAGTATGAAGGGCCTAACCGGGGAAGAATTTGGTGAATTTGTAAAGTGCTGAAAGGTAGATTGGAAGATAGTAAGTGAGGGTGAGAGTGGAATGAGATGATGCTCGAGAGGTACAGTGTCAATTATGCAAAACCTTGTAGGTCGTACTGAGCAGTTTGGAATTTGTTCTAAGTGCAGTGGGAAGTAGGGGAGAGACATAATAGACTTACTTTCAAAATAAAACAATACACCCCTCACTCCCCCCAAAACAAAACAAAACTGAGAGAGAGCACTGTGTCCTGATGTCAAGTGAGGCATCAGTGAAAGTAAGGCTTAAGTTGGGACTTCCAGAGTGTATAGGGCTTACATTTGTATAGGGAGGAGTGCATGAGAGAGATCATTTTGGTTGAGGAATCCTTATAGTGGAGATGGAAATGAGGGTAGAAAAAGACTTAACAGGCAGACCCTGGAGAATCTTGAATGCTAAATTGTCCCTTTTAGCTGTTTCTTGTGATGCTGTACCTGAATGACCCAGCAAACAACCATTAGTGTAACAATGCCATCTATGTTTGAATCCAGATCATGGAGGTGGGGAGCGGGACTGCTGTGTTGTGAGTCAGTTCTCTCTTAAGTCTCAAGCTTGTTGGATGATCTTCAGAGTTCTGTGAACATCTGACGATCTGTTTACCTCTTCCCAACTACCAATTCCCATTTTAAGAGATTTCAGTTGAATCTGTTTCTCATAGCTTATTGGAGATGCCAAGATTTTCTCTCTCTTTCTCTACTAGCGTCTTACTTGGGTAAGATGACACAATTTTGGTGTCGATTTCTAATATTTCACAAAAGCGCTGTCACGAGTTTAGGCTATTTATTTTTTATTATTCTATAAATATGTATATTTAAAACAGATTATATTTTATTTTTTTCTTTATATATCAGGCCAGCTATCTGTTGGCACTTGACTGTTTTACTTAGTATCTGTTATAAAGCTTTACTTTTTCTGACATTGCATGTACATTTTGTCTGAGTGTCTTTTTATAATGATAATTTATTATAAGTACATTTAAAATTGTTGACTTATTCTTTAATTCAAACCTGTACTCTTTAATAATAAATCCTTAACTTTGAAGATTATATTAAAATATACTAATCTTCCTGCATTAAGTCTTTTTACTTTAATCCTTCATAGTAGTGTATTAATATGAATCATAAAATACAGAATTATTTCTTTTGCGAAAGAAGACACTCTTGACTGCGAGGGTATACATTAAACTGCATAGTTTGAATTTTTTCATTGTAGCTATTCAGAATTTCACATACCAGATTGTTACAGTTATTTTTAGTTTTTCATCATAATTCATCTTCTTAAAAAATCTAGCCCTAATGATAGTTCTTAAAAAAAAAAAAATTTGTCTTTTATGACGTAAGGGACCTTTCTGTTTGAGTATCAGATCTCCTAAACTTTATAAATCAAAACTTCTTCTTTTTTTTTTTAATCATCAATTGATTCTTTTTTTTAATATAATTTTACTTTGTTGTTGTTGAGAATATACACAGCAGAACATACACAATTCAACAATTTCTACATGTACAATTCAGTAACATTGATTACATTCGAGTTGTGCAACCATTCTTACCCTTCTTTTCCAAGTGTTTCCTCCCCCATTAACATAATCTCACTGTCCCCTAAGTTTCCTATCTAATCTTTCCAGTTGCTGTTGTCAGTTTGATCCCATATAGATAGATCTTAAAAGAGCACAATGCTCAAGGCAGGCATTCTTTACTAGTTAAGCTAAACTATTGTTTGGTGTTAAGAAGACTTCAGGGGATAATTTTTATTGAAGTTTTAAAGATTATCTCAGGGTAATAGTTTTCAGGGTGAATCCAGCCGCTATGGCTCCAGAAAGTTTGGATTTAATGAGAATTTTAAATTCTGTTTTGCATTTTCCCCTTTTTGAGCAGGATTCTTCTATAGAATCTTTGATCAAAATGTTCAGTAATGGTAGCCGGGCACCATACAGTTCTTCTGGTGGGTATAGGGTTTCTTAATGGGTTGATGAAAAAGTTCTAGCATTAGATTGTGGTGATGGTTGCACAACTTTGTGAACATACTAGAAATCGTTAATTGAACATTTTAAAAGCATTATTTTTATGGTACATGAATTGTATCTCAATAAAAAATTGGGGGGAGACAAAGGAATGAAGGGATGGCTTACATGCCTTTTTGAGTATGTGCTCACACTCAACATGATGGGACCAAGGGAGGGTCTCCACTAGGATGGATTCCTCTGTTTTCATGGTAGATTTGGAGAAAGGGGGAGGATATTGGTACAATTGCACAATTTTTCCCCACATCACCTCAATTTTTTTTTTCCTACCTGATGTAGTAGTTTCAGGACCGGGGCTATAAACTGCACTTGCTGGAAGCAGGGATGATCCCTAAGCAAGAAACTGTAATTATACGTTTCATCCTTTATACCAGAATATGTGAGGGCCTGTTGGGATGGATTATATCTTCACGCCATCTTGCAAAATTGGGATTGATATGATTGCAGCTGTATTGCTTAGTGGCCAAGATGGCCCAATAGTTTTTTTATTTGTGTAACCTTACTCTATACAAATAGGAATGGACCAAAGGTGAAGCACTTGCTAGACTCACATTGCTGCTGCTAGCAATCTGGGCTTGCACTGCCACTGAAATCAATGTTCCTTCCAAAGATAGAAAGATTCAAGTTAAAATCAATGACAAATAGAGAAAAGAAAAATAGTAGCTGAAGGTAAAGAAATTAAATGTCTTATGCAATAAGGGAAAGCCAACATTACATTGGTTCCTCAAGAAATGTTCAGAGCAAGAGAATAATATTGTCTCTTAGCACAATTATAATAGATGCTTGAGAGGCTGAAGTTCTATGTTTGCTGAGACTATCTCCACTTTTGGTACTCGACAAGGTCAAATGGAAGTCTGCAAACATGAGTGGCATCACACTGGAAAACATTCTGTTCATGCGTTATGATGATAAACAGGACCAATTGTTGATGGAATCCTAGTAACATGCCAGTATTTTTTTTATTATTATTTTTCACATTGTTGTTGTTGTTAGTTGCCATTGAGTCGGTTCTGATTCATAGTGATTTTTCACATTACATCTGCTATAAAGGATACCATTTGGGAAATAACTTTTCAGGAATTACTCCTTGCCAGATCATCAAACCATGCAGTATAAACTTTTGGCAGACTGATCTCTGTGTAACTGTAGTCCTTGATAACCAAATACTTAGAAAGTTTCCTGTCTATTATAAATCAAAACTTTTTGTATTTACTCAAACTGATTTAGTAGCTGCTCACAGAATTTCCTCTTTAATGTGGGTTTCCCTCTCATGGGATCATATATAGTTTGTTCAGATTTTTAAAAGATGATGCTGCATTTAGGAACTTGAATATAAAAATGGTATAAAATCTTATGCAGGTGAATGAATTAAATTTCCTGGAATAAAACCTTAACTGAATGAAATACCCAAGGAATAGGGAACCCTGATTGGTTGTCTTTTCTGGCTTATACATTGTTTTACTGAAGATGATTTAATAATCTAGGAGTTTTCATTGTCTCAGAGTATATCATAAAAATCAAGTATCATTCAATATGGTAGATAGAGCTGTGTTAAGTTTATGTGTTGGGCCGAATCTATGTAGATTCTAATATGGTTGTTATGAATAAATATTTCATACCACTTTATTTTAGGTTTGTATCATTTCCCCTGTTTTACCCAAATTGAGTTTCTGGGTAAAATAATTTTTTTGAGGAATCACTCCAATTTGGTATTCAGGTGTATTTCATGAGGAGTATAGAAATTAAAACAATATAATATTTTAAATTTATTTTGGAAATATTTTACTTAATGTCATTTTAAAATTAATACTAATTTAGCATTGTTTTAAGATTGTGTTATCAATTCATATTTTTAATGATTCTCTATTTCTTGAATAATTTGTGGAAACTCTTCATTGTGAGTATTTAAATTTTCTACAGGTCTACTGTATATTATTGAAACACAGAAAGTTCTTGATCTCAAAATTAATTTGAAGGCATCATATATTATTATTCCACAAGATGGAATTTTTAGTCCTGCATCAAATCTACTACTTTTGGATCTTGGTCATCTAAAGGTATATGCTTATAATGTATACTTTATAATACGGCCTTTCAACGTGGTATCTTTGTTTAGTATGCATTTTGTTCTTTAGACAGTTTGCTTTGGTATGTTGATTTTTAGATTTACGGTAAATACTAGAATTTGAGAAATCTTCCTTTCGATGAATAAAGTGAAGTTTCATTTAATTAGTAGATTTCCTACATTCCTGAAGGCAGATTGACCAGTTGAATTCTGAAGGTCAGGGATAAACCTAAGAATTATATTTATAGATTTTCAGAGCCATGCTTGAGGAATTTATTTCCTTTTTAATGTAAATCTATTATGTGATTAATATATATAGAATGGGAGGGAGTTCTAGAAGTAATCAAGTATATCTTCCTCCTCCTGAAATTTTTTTGCATATGTAAGTGCATATTGATGTTTTAATATTTTTCTTCTTAAATAATCCTGAATTGAGAGCTGATTCTTGCATTTACCAAATTTCCCTTTCTTTCCAGTTATGTACTTATTGATTCTCCAGTTTTGAATAGAGAATAATAATTTTTTTGTGTAGTTTCTACATCTGCATTGTTTAATATGGTAACCACTAGCTACATGCAGTTATTTAAATTTAAATTAATTAAAATAAAAAATTCTATTCCTTAGTCACACTACCCATGTTCAAGAGCTTAATAGTCACAAGTGGCTAAATGGCTGCTGTATTGGACAGTGCAGAGATAGAACATTCCCATTATCGTTGAAAGTTCTATTGGACAGCTACGACAAGTTAAAGACCCAAGAAGGATGGATAATAATAGTAGAATGATCTTTCTGGCTACCTAACAAATACTTGCCTTTCCTTAATATTAACATTCTCCCTTATTCTATTTTTTATTGAAATTTTTCACTTTATGTAGACACCTCCTATATTTATATTATAATAAAATGTATGCAGCTAATTGTTCATATTTGAGGTTGATAATTGAATTGTTTAAAGGGCAGTGTGGTAGAGTGGAGAGAGCGTAAGGTTAGAAGTAAGAGTATCTATCTAGTTATGTGACCTTGGACAATTTGCTTTACCTCTTAGCTAACATTCATTATCTGTCACTTTACATGAGATATATAAAATAAAGAAAAAAAAGTTAAATGTATGTAAAATCAAACCAAACCCATTGCCAAGGCTTTAAATCTTTATGGAGACAGATTGTCACATCTTTCTCTCATGGAGTGACTGGTGGGTTTGAACTGTCAGGCTTTTGGTTAGCAGCCAAGTGCTTAACCACTGTACCACCAGGGCTCCTAAATATATGTTTATATGCACATATGTGCATATACATATATATACACACACACATACATATATGATATACCTATTGTCTTAGTTGTCTAGTGCTGCTTTAACAGGAATACCATGAGTGGATGGCTTTACAAAGAGAAGTTTATTCTCTCACAGTCCAGTAAGCTACAAGTCCAAATTCAGGGCATCAGCTCCAGGAGAAGGCTTTCTTTCTCTGTCAGCTCTGGAGGAAGGTCCTGGTGATGCATCAGCCTTCCCTTGGTCTGGGAGCATCTCTGCACAGGAACCTCAGGTCCAAAGGACGTGCTCTGCTCCCAGCACTGCTTTCTTGGTGGTATGAAGTTCCCATGTGTCTCTGCCTGCTTTTCTCTTTTATATCTCAAAAGAGATTGGATTAAGACACTGTCTAATCTTGTAAACCTCATCAGTATAACCTCATCACAATGATAGAATTTACAACATATAAGGAGATCACATATAACCTCATCACAGTGATAGAGTTTACAACACATAAGGAAATCACATCAGATCTACAGTCATACAGTACTGTGAATCATGACCCAGCCAAGTTGACAGATATTTTGGGGGGACACAGTTCAATCCATGACACCTATATATTTGCATATACACCTATATATTTGCATATATGTGCAAATGTATTTATATAATAAATATATACAGACACACATGAATAAGATCTTTGTAAACTGCTGTGGAATCTCCACATTGTTTAAGTGAAATATGTATAGTATGCAGAAAGGCCGCTGGGTGGTGCAAACCGTTTGCGCTCAACCACTAACCTAACGGTTAGTGATTCAAACCTACCTAGAGGCACCACAGAAGAAAGGCCTGGCAATCTGCTTCCATAAAAGATTACAACCAAGAAAACCTTATGGAGCAATTCTACTCTGTAACTCATGGGGTTGCCATGAGTCAGAATTGACTTGATGGCAACAAGTTTGTTTATGTTTATAGTATGCCAGGGAAGGGGGGAATACAAATGTGACTTGCCTGGCCATAAATGGCAGAGTTAGGACTGAAATTCAGCTGTCCTAATACCTAATCCTGGACCCTTCTACTACTTTTTATAAAGCTATCTGCATACCTGTCATTGTGCCATAGAAACCTTTTGGAAGCTAAATTTGTCTCTTGGTCTTGCTTTTAATGAAAAGGCTTCTTATCAGATTTTAAGAATTTGTAGATGTATTATTCTCCACCACCAACTTGGTTCCCCTCTTTTAGTATAAATAAATGGGAAATATAATTTAATATGTAAAAATTCACTTTATACCTGATTTTCTTAAATACATTTCATGGATAAGGACATTTCTAATAGCCTTAAAATGTATGTCAGCTTATGCGCTTATCCTCTCCTATTAAATTTTTATAATATGTCTCTGAAAGATTAAAAAACTTTATACTTATACTTTGAAGTATTTTAGATAGTCTAAACTATTCAAAATTAATTTTAAGGTGACAAGTAAAAGTCGTTCAGAATTACCGGATGTAAAACCAGGTGAGGCCAATCTTGAAGAGATAATGCATAGAGCTTATGATTCATTTGATATTCAACTTACGAGCATACAGCTGCTTTACAGCAGAGTTGGTAAGTAGGAAATGCATAATTTATTGATTGATTTTGCTGAAATGATGAATTAGGTTTTGAGATAATTTTTGTGAAGACCTTCATCCTAAATGTTTCATTGACTCTTATATTTTTTAATTAGAAGTGATAGTAGATATTACTTAGAACAGTGATTCTCAACCATGAGTGATTTTATCTCCCAGGAGACATTTGTTAATGTCTGGAGACATTTTTCATTTTCACAGTATGAAGGGCACTTGTGGATGTGGCCCGGGATGCTGCTAAATAAAATATAATGCATGCGACAGTCCTCTACAACAAAGGCTTATCTGGCCCAAAATGTTAGTACTGAGGCAGAGAAATTCTGATTTAGACCAGTGTTTTCCAACCTTGGTCAAAGGTTGGAAAACACTGGTACACATTGAAAATGATACTTTTATGTTAAAGTGGAGTAACCAGAAGAGGCTGCTCAGGGCCAGAGGCAAACAGCCTCAGAGCTCTGACAGCCCCAGGCCATAGATAGCCACACACAAAGACTGAGGAGGATAAGTGTTTTAGGTAAACTTGAACCCCGTTCACTTCGGTCTACCAGATGGGAGTCTCTGATCCAGATCTAGTTTTTTAGGTGAGGTCAACAGAGTTACAGTTTCACCTGACAAGAGCCACTAAAGTAGTAACAGAGCCCAGTCTAATTCACCTCTCTTTCCATTGTGCCATACTGCTGCTGAATTCCTAAAGTGTTAGTGAACATTCAGATAATTCAACAGTTTGATTGGGGGCTGTCCTAGACATAGAGATCTTGCTCTGTATGTCTATGGTAAAAATTTAATTATCTAAGTAATTGATAAAAGCAGAAGCAGTGAGAATCCAAAGTAGTGGTTATTGCAAGTATTAGTTTATATATGACTGGAACATTTTGATTTTATTTCTCTAATTATATTTGTTTTAGGCTAATGAACTTGGCTTGTATTTTTAATGTCTCCCAGTTAGTATGGAAGGTTGTAAATGTAAATTATTTTTAGAAGAAGTCCATAAATTCATTTCAGGGAATTAAGTTTGAATGATCCATTTGGTCACTAGTTGTTGAAGTCGGTGAACCATACCTGAATTATTATTTAAGATATTGAGATGCTTTTGGAAAGGACTTTTAATGTATTTCATAGTTATTGTCTGAGGATTCTTGTTTACTGAATGACTTCTTTTGAACTGTTTTTGATAAGCATTAACTATTCTTAAATAATTGTATCTTTTATTGAGTAGGGCTTTTTGATACTATAGTTACTTTATATAATTGTTTGTCATAGATTCTCTTGATAAATACTGAAACACATGCTTGTAAACATCTTGTTTTTTTAATTTGTGAAATGGGAAGTGAAGGAAATACTTCATTTATCTCCGTAGTGGTGGAAGTATAAAAATTGTAATAAAGTCCATTGTATCACCTATCTCCAAGAGCTCAGTCTTTCCTTGACTTGGTTTTTCTTGAGTGAGGATTTTATCTGCCTCATAGGATTATTCGATTCAAATGACATAAAGTATATGAAAATGCATTTTTGTTGTGTGCTGTTGAGTCAATGCTGACTCATAGTTACCCTATAGACCAGAGTAGAACTGCCCCATAAGGTTTCCTAGGCTGTAATCTTTATGGACGCAGATCACCAGGTCTTTTCTCCTGTGGAGTCTCTGGTGGGTTGGAGCTTCTGACCTTTCGGTTAGCAGCCAAGCACTTAACCATTGTGCCACCAGGGCTCCTTATGAAAAGACATGGCATTACATAAATCACATTAATTTTGTTATACATTTTGAAGTTATTTTTTTCTAACTGTAAAGGTAATATATGCCTATTGTAGAAAATCTGGACAATAAAAAAAAAAAAGACCATCCTTTATCTTACTGCTCAGATATAAATACTGTTAATATTTTGTTATATGTCCTTTCTAGGATATTTTTCAGTGTAGGTGCCTATGAGTGTATAGGATGTGCCTATGTAGGGTTATGTACATTTGTGAATGCATTATTTACATCATTTTGTATCCCGAGTTTTCTTTTATTTACTAGCATCATTTTGAGCACTTGAATTCATGATTTTTCTTGTGTGTATAATGTTCTAAGGCTATGCTGTCAGTTATTTAGCCATTAACTTATTGAACATTTAGGCTTGTATCACTACAGTGACTGTTGCCTTAGGGTCCCATGTTAGCTGACCTCAGTGAGAATTTCAGCTTTACCAGTAGCCTTGGGATCATAGGCAAGCAATAAATTCTTCTGAGTCTGTTTTCTAAAATGGGATTATTATACATCATTAATAGGGTTGTCGTGAGAATTAAATGAAAGTTTAAATATTGCCTAGAAGAATGCCAGTTACAAATCTTGGGTAAGTGATAGCTTTTATTAGTTATTACTAAAGAATTTCACTTTCTTCTACCTTCTTCATTATTGCCTTACAGCCACATTGGTTAGATAAGGTATTTGACTGGTGTGGTGAATGTCAGTGAATACGTAGTGGAATTTTTTTTTTTTTGTAAACATTTTCCTATTAAAACATAAAGTCCCGTGAAAGAACAGAAGGAAAATGATGAAAGGGAAAAAATTTACATGCTGCTTGTGTGTACCTGGGAATATGTCATTATGAGTAGCTAGATGTGGGAAGAGTCCCCCCCCCACCCCCCGTGTGTGTGGCTGTGAAGTATTATTAGTAATTTTGAGTCTTGTATGTTTTTCAAATTTTACACGTGGTAAATATTCAGTGTTTTCTGTAATTAGGTGAAAATTGGAAAGAAGCACGAAAACTCAATGTATCTACACAGCATATTTTGATACCTATGCAGTTCAATGTGGAACTCTCTAAGGCCATGGTTGTCACAGATTTAAGGATGCCCAAGTATGTATTGCCTGTTTCATGTGATTGTTGATTTTCTCAGTAATTTTGTAACTAAGGAAGTACTAGATTTCATTGACTTTTAAGATATTATAAGATATATCATTAATTTTATGCTTCACTTAAGAAAAAAAAAAGTCTGACATGGGAAAACTATTAGGAGGTTCCTGAATAAAACTAGGTCTCCAGAGGATGACACCATTAGTGTAATGGTGAAAAAGAAATAAATGGTGAAAGGGACAGCAAGAGTAGAAGGAAAAAAAACTCTCTTCCAGTGAAACTGTATTGGTTTGCTGTGTGGTAGCAGAACAGCTCAAGCAGAGAAATTTTGAAGTTCTCTCAGATTTTAAGTTTCCCAAGGGGACTGGTAGAAGTAAATACAGGTTTTAAATACTGGACTTCAGTCAGGTTTATAGTCATTAATATAAGTCATTAATTAAGATTTACTCCAATTTCAGAGATGTTAAAATATGAAAAAAAATCAAACTGAGATTGCCTGGTTAGGTTAATATAAATAGTTCCATTCACTTATATGTTGGTTGATTTGTTCAGTAAACATTAGTAACAATGGTTTGCTAATATACTTATTTTGAATTATATGAAATATAGTTTCACTAACCCTTGACCAAGAAGAATCTTAATGTGGTTCTTAACCAGTCTCAGTTTTAATTAATCTCTGAACTCATAAGGTAAACCTCCCCTTATTTTGTATGCTAACCTGAGCTAGGTAGCTCTCAGACTCCAAGACACTGGATTATTGTCTTGTAACTAATTATTATGATAATCATGCTAGGGAGTGGAAGGAGAGAAGTTCAGGACTGTGGTTGACTGATGGGGAAATTTTGATGTTCTTGCTTATAGACTGTATTGGATTTTAAAAATATCTGAGTGAGATCGGGGTGCTTTTAGATGCTATGGCTAGGAAATTGTGCCTGCAGTGAATCACCTTCTATACCTAAGGTCCCTAAGAGAGATTGGCTGTTGAGTAGCAGAATAGTCTTTACTGTTAACTGAAGCTTTGGCCTCAGGAACCTGAGTAGAGAACTCTGTTGAACTAGACTGGATCATTTATACAATTTAGGCCTAAATAGTTTTAGAGTAAAACTAGCCTTTTCTGTCCCTTGCAAACACTCAAATCCAAGCCACAGATCTATTTAAAGATATAAGCAAAGACTCATCTAACAACTACCAAACAGCCCCAGGAGAATTGTTAGTAAAGGAGCAACAAGAGAATGCTCACATGGTAGTGCTTAAGGCTTTCTGCTTAGTTAAGTGTAGGAAGAAGAAGGAAAGAGAAGTGGGGACTGCCTGGCCTTTTCCCGTAACGGTCCTTACTACTCTTGCTACGTGGAAGAGAAAGATTAAGAAAGACTTATAGCCGTCTTTGATGACAGAATTTTAACTTATGGGGAGTCTATTCACTAGCAAACATTGTCCAGAGTCCCAAATCTTATTCTCCTAGACTTCCTTCTCCTAGAAAATCAAAGTGGATTCTGAGAGTCTTTAGGTAGAGGGATGCCAGAAATTTGGATTAAGGAAGAGAGAAGGAAATAAAGCCATCCTGTACATTCTGTTGTTTTTCTTAATTCTGCTGTAGGTATAGTTTGATTTCAAAGGCAAGGCTGATGTTCTTTTGTTCCTCACCAAATGTCTTCCTGCCCATTTATTGTTTAATGTTTCTTCTCCACCACTAGCCTGTTAATTTGTTGTACTGTGGTGGCTTGCATGTTGCTGTAATGCTGGAAACTATGCCACTGGTATTTCAAATAACAGCAAGGTCATCCATGGGAGACAAGTTTTAGTGGAGCTTCCAGACTAAAACAGATAAGGAAGAAAGGCCTGGCAAATTACTTCAGAAATTACCCCAATGAAAATCCTATGGATCACAACAGAATACTGTCCAATATAATGCTGGAAGATGTGCCCGGAATGCACTCAAAATACACAGTGGCCGCAACAATGGACTTGAGCTTACCAACGATCATGAAGGATGATGCAGGACCTGGCAACGTTTCATTCTGTTGCACATGGGGTGGCCATGAGTTGGAGCGACTGGATGGCAGCTAACAATAACAGCAATATTTCTTGTAAAGCTTTTCAGTCTATGATGACAAAGAGCAAAGATGTATATGGTTTTCTGTGGTAAACATGAGTATGAATGGCCTTTTTATTTTTTTAACATAGTGTAAAGACTTTTCTTTTTTTGGTATGCTAGAATCTAGGAAGTTACAAGGTACCAGAATAAAGGAGATGATTTTCTTCTGAGGGAAGAAAAAGGTATTTTATTTTGCTTTGGACTTGCTCTATCGGTAGGGGTGATTTGTGTCCTGTGATGCAGGAAATATATATAGTTTACCATATATATTATGATAGCTGATTTAAAAATCTTTATGTGTAGGTAATGAAATGTGATGTGACATTGTGAGATATTAATTCAGTGCAGGGTTTGGCAAACTTTTTCTATCAAGAGCCAGGTAATAAATATTTTACATAAGAAGGCCGTATGGTCTCTGTCACAACTATTTAACTCTGTTCTGATAGCACAAAACCTGCCATAAACAGTATGTAAATGAATGAAAATGACAGAATTCCAAGAACACTTTATTTATAAAAAGAGATAGCAAACTAGATTTGACCCATGGCTGTAGTTCGCCAACCCCTGGTGTAGTGTGTTAGAGCCAAACATGACCAATAAAATTGGAAATACATCAGAAAAGGCATTTTAGATAGTACACTAATGATGCTAAAATGGTTATAGGTTAGGACCAGAGAAGTGTGACTAAAATAACCTCAGGCAAGAAACTATAATGATTCATAAAGATTAAGAGGTAATTTGATTTTAATTTTTAAAGTCATGAGTAGTATAAATTGAATATAGTATTATAGAACATCCTGGAACTCTGCAAGTATAAGGCACCTTCATTTGAAGTTTGAGCTGAATAAGTTTAAGGCAAATTAAAGGACATTCTGTGATGTATGGTGGGTGGTTTTCTTTTGATACCCATCATGTTGAGGTTATACAACTTGCATATTTAAAGAAATTCAGAAGACAGTTGTTGTTAGGTGCTGTCGAGTCGGTTCTGACTCATAGCAACCCTGTGTACAACAGATGAAACACTGCATGGTCCTGCACTATCCTTACACTTGTTGCTATGTTTGAGCTCATTGTTGCAACCACCGTGTCAGTCATTCTCATTGAGGGTATTTCTCTTTTTTGCTGACCCTCTACTTTAACAAGCATGATGTCTGTCATGGTTTGAATTGTGTCCCCCCAAAATTTGACTTGATTAGGCCGTGATTCCCAGTATTGTGTGGTTGTCCTCCATTTTGTGATAGGTGTAATTTTTGTATGTATTGTAAATCCTAATCTCTGCCTGTGGTTAATGAGGCAAGATTAGATTATGTTAAAGAGGATTAGGGTGGGATGTAACATTCTTACCCAGGTCACATCCCTGATCCAGTGTAAAGGGAGTTTCCCTGAGTGTGGCCTGCACCACCTTTTATCTTACAAGAGATAAAACGAAAGGGAAGTGAGCAGAGAGTAGGGGACCTCATACTGTCAGGAAAGTAGCACCAGGAGCAGAGTGCATGCTTTGAACCCAGGGTCCCTGTGCTTCTTGACCAGGGGAAGATTGATGACAAGGACTTTCCTCCAGAGCTGACAGAAAGAGAAAGTCTTCCCTGGAGATGATGCTCTAAATTTGGACTTGTAGCCTACTAGACTGTGAGAGAATAAATTTCTCTTTGTTGAAGCCATCCACTTGTGGTATTTCTGTTATGGCAGCACTAGATAACTAAGATAATATCCTTCTCCAGGGATTGGTCCCTCTTGATAACATGTCCAAAGTATGTAAGATGAAGTCTCACCATCCTCGCTTCTAAGGAGCATTCTGGCTGTACTTCTTCCAACACAGATTTGTTCATTCTTCTGGCAGTCCATGGTATATTCAGTATTTGTGAAGAATACACTGTAATTCAAAGGCATCAATTCTTCTTCAGTCTTCCTTATTCAGTGTCGAGCTTTCCCATGTGTATGAGGCGATTGAAAATAACCATGGCTGGGTCAGGTGCACCTTAGTCCTCAAGGCGACATCTTTGTGTTTTTTTTTTTTTTTTAAATACTTTAAAGAGGTCTCTTGCAGCACATTTGTCCAAGGCAATGTGTCATTTGATTTCTTGACTGCAGCTCCCCTGAGCGTTGATTGTGAATCTGAGAAAAATGAAATCCTTGACAACTTCATTCTTTTCTCCGTTTATCGTGATGTTGCTTGTTGGTCCAGTTGTGAGGATTTTTGTTTTCTTTATGTGTAATCCATACTGAAGGCTGTAGTCTTTTGATCTTCCTCAGTAAGTGCTTCAAGTCGTCTTCACTTTTCAGCTAACACGGTTTTGCCATCTGCATATTGCAGGTTATTAATAAGTCTTCTTCCAATCCTCATGTTGCTTTCTTCTGTATATAGTTCAGCTTCTTAGATTATTTGCTCAGCATACAGGTTAAATAAGTGTGGTGAAAGGATACAACCCTGACACACACCTTTCCTGATTTTAAACCACACAGTATCCTCTTGTTCTGTTTGAACAATTGCTACTTGGTCTACGTACAGGTTTTGCATGAGCCCAATTAAGTGTTCTGGAATTCCCATTCTTTGCATTGTTATCCATAATTTGTTACGGTCCACACAGTCTAATAGTCATAAAACACAGGTAAGCATCTTTCTGGCATTCTCTGCTTTCAGCCAAGGTCCATCTGACATCAGCAGTGATACCCCTCTTTCCACATCCTCTTCTGAATCCAGCTTGAATTTCTGGCAATTCCCTGTTAATGTATTGCTGCAACCACTTTTGAATTGTCTTCAGCATAATTTCACTTACGTGTGATATTAATGATATTGTTCGACAGTTTCTGCATTCTGTTGGAACCTTTCTTTGGAATGGGTACGAATATGGATCTTTTCCAGTCATTTGGCCAGGTAGCTGTCTTACTAATTTCTTGGCATAGATGAGTAAGTGCTTCCAGTGTTGCATTCATTTGTTGAAACATCTCAATTGGTATTCCATCAATTCCCGAAGGCTTGTTTTTCACCAATGCCTTCAGTGCAGCTTGGACTTCTTCGTTCATTACCATTGGTTCTTAATCATATGCTACCTCCTGAAATGGCTGAACATTGACCAGTTCTTTTTGATACAGTGACTGTGTATTCCTTCCATCTTCTTTTGATGCTTCCTGTGTCATTCAGTATTTTCCCTGTAGGATTCTTCAGTATTGCAACTCGAGGCTTGAATTCTTTCTTCTGTTCTTTCTGCTTTAGAAATGCTGAGTGTTTCTTTCCTTTTGGTTTTCTAACTCTAGGTCTTCGTGCATGTCATTTTAATATTTTGTCTTCGAGCTGCGCTTTGAAATCATCTGTTCAGCCCTTTTACTTAATCATTTCTTCTTTTTGCTCTAGGTATTGTACATTCAAGAGTAAGTTTCAGAGTCTGTTCTGACATCCACTTTGGTCTTTTTTCCCCTTTTCTGTCTATTTAATGACCTTTTGCTTTTTTCATGTATGATATGTTTGATGTCATTCTACAACTCGTCTGATCTTTGGTCATTAGTGTTCAGTGTGTCAAATTTGTTCTTCAGATGGTCTCTAAATTCAGATGGGGTGTACTCAAGGTTGTACTTTGGCTTGTATGGACTTGTTTAAATTTTCTGCAGCTTTAACTTGAACTTGCATATGGGCAATTGATGGTCTGCTCTGCAGTCGGCCCTTGCCCTTGTTTTGACTTATGTTACTGAGCTTCGCCATCATCTCTTTCCACAAATGTCGATTCAATTCCTGTGTAGTCCATCCAGTGAGATCCACATATATGGTTTCACTGTTTATGGTGTTAAAAAAGGTATTTCCAACGAATAGGTCGTTGGTCTTGCAAAATTGTATCATGTGATCTCCCATATCATTTCTGTCACCAAGGCCATTTTTTCTAACTACTGACTCTTTTTTCTTTCCAACTTTTGCGTTCCAGTCACCATAATAATCAATGCATCTTGATTGCATGTCTGATCAGTTTCAGACTACAGTAGTTGATAAAAATCTTTAATTTCTTCCTCTTTGCCATTAGCGATTGGAGTGTAAATTTGAGTATAGTCATATTAACTGGTCTTCCTTGTAAGTGTATGGTTTTTATTCTATCACTGACAGTGTTGTCTCTTAGGATAGATCTTGAAATTTTCTTCTCGTTGATGAATGCGATGCCGTTCCTCTTCAATTTGTTATTCCTGGCATAGTAAACCATATGATTGCCTGATTCAAAATGGCCAGTACCAGTGCATTTCAACTCACTGATGCCTAGACTATTATCTTAGGCTGAGTTCTCTAAAGAAGTAAAACCAGAGAAGTGTGTGAATATTTATGTATATATATGTATATATATACATACACACACACACACACACACACATATATATATAGAGAGAGAGAGAGAGAGAGAGAGATTGATTTATCTCAGGGAAATGGCTCACACAGTTGTAGAAGCTGGCAAGTCTGAAGTCTGTGGGTTAGGTGTCAGGCTCGTGGCTTCTCCTGACTTCTGTAGCTGCAGTGGCTGATGAACCCAAGATCAGCAGGTCAGTTGGCTGACGCTGGCTCAGAGGTTATGGAGGGCAGTGAATCCCAACATTGGCGTGTAAGATAGCAAGCTGCTGGCTCACAGGCTGCGGAGACTGATGGATCCCAAGATCAGCAGGTAAGCTGCCTGCTCAGGTCTCACGAACTGTAGGTCAGATGATGATGAGCTGGATGCAGGATCCAGAGTGAGAGCCTTGCTGGACCGTTCATTTATATACTGGAGACAGGCCACACCCCCAAGGAAACTCCCTTTCCGCTGATTGGTTGCTCATAGCAGATCTCATCATGGAATTGATTACATCGTTACACAACATTATATAACTGCCAGATTACATCATAACTGACAAACCACTGAGAATCACGGCCCAGCCAAGTTGACATGCAACCTTAACATCACAGATGTCAGTCTTCAAGAGTTTCATATTATTTTTGACAACTTCCAATTTTCCTTGAACCATACTTCATGCATGCCACGTTCCGATTATTAATCGACGTTTGCAGCTGTTTCTTCTCATTTTGAGTCATGCCACATCAGCATATGAAGGTCCCGAAAGCTGTCCTCTGTCTACGTCTTTAAGGTTGACTCTACTTTGAGGAGACGTCGCTTCCCCAGTTGTATTCTGAGTGCCTCCCAACCTGAGGGGCTCGTCTTCCAGAACTATATCAGGCAGTGTCGCCAGTGCCTTCAGTGCAGCTTGGATTTCTTCCTTCAGTACCATCGGTTCTTGATCATATGCTACCTCCTGAAGTGGTTGAATGTTGACCACTTCTTTTTGGTACAGTAAACTCTGTATTTTTTCCATCTTCTTTTGATGCTTCCTGTATCATTGAATTGTTTGCCCATAAGAAACCAAAAACCAAACCCTTTGGCCATCAAGTTGATTCTGACTCATAGCAACCCTATAGGACACTGTAGAACTTCCCCATAGGGTTTCCAAGGAGCAGCTGGTGGATTCAAGTTGCTGACCTTTTGGTTAGCAGCCGAGCACTTAACCACTGCACACTGGGGCATGGAATCCTTCAGTATTCCTTCTACTGTTTTTTATAAGGTTTTCACAGGCCAGTTTTTTCAGAAGTAGATCTCCAGGTTCTCCTTCCCAGTCTGTCTTAGTCTGGAAGCTCTGCCGAAACCTGTCCACCATGAGTGACGCTGCTGGTATTTGAGATACTGGTGGTATAGCTTCCAGCATCATGGCAACAAGCAAGCTACCATAGTATGACAAACTGACTGACAGAAAGAAGGTTAGCTGCATTAATAGGACTGATCTATAACATGTAACTAAGTTAAATTAGGATGTGTGGCTTTACTTCTAAATATTTAGGCTATTGTAAGTAAAAGTAAGCTTGTAAGTTTTTGTAGGAATTCAGTTATATTTTTAGAAAGATAACCTTAGCAGTCAATGTGTGTAAATTGAAAAAGTCAGTTTTAGGAAAAATCCAGGGATAAAAATGTTGAATAAAAACTCTCTCTTTAATGTCTGTCTCTTTTTAAATCTTTATTTTGCATCTGTAAGCAAGGAGACTACTAAGGCAATTAAAAGAATAAAATAATAAAACACTCAGATCTTTTTTGAATCATGGTTTTAGGGATATAATCTCTTGGATAAGTTACTTGAGCACGCTAAACTTTATTTTCCTTATCTATAAATGGGAAATAGAAATAGATTTTCAGCCTTTATAGTTTGTGAGGACGATTTACACTAATTCATATAAAGTGCTTTGCACAGTGCCTATCACATAGTAAGCATTTGATAAATCTTAATTGTCAGCTGTAATTGGTAAATTATAGAGGGACAATAAATATAATAATGTCAGAAAATAAGCTTCTGGAAAATGATGAGGTTAGCTCATCTATTGGGACTGGTCAGTAAGGTAAGATGGACATTGGAGTAGAGATTAGGGGGTAATTTGACTATGTGGATAATTTTTAATGCTTAAAATTACATTTAATTATATTTGAATAATTTGAGGGTAACAGTCTTCTGTTTATTTAATGCACTTAAATTATAATGAAAGTTGCTTTATAATGATATTTACTTTTTTGAAACAGATTCAAGATTTTTGGAAAGTTACCTCTGGTTTCTTTACGAGTCTCGGATAAAAAACTGCAAGGAATTATGGAATTAGTTGAAAGCATTCCAAAACCTGAACCTGCACCTCATGTACCTGACCCTGGTAAATCAGATGAGGTATTGTTGCTTTCAAAATTAATAAAAACATGAATTAAAAAAGAAGGTCCACAAATAATATTTGAAACAACCACAGAAATTTCAGATAAAATAATATGGCAATCATTTTGAATAGACCATTTAAAAATTACATTTTGAAGAAAGAAATTGATGACATGGTAGTAAGTGAAAATAGTGAAGAAATGTATAAGATGGTAAGTCTGATCTTTTCTTAGTTGTCCAGCCACCACTCTTTCCCCAGTGGTAACACTGTTAACCACTGCTTCTGTAGTTTTCAGAAAATGTTTATGACATAAACACTAAACACAAATACACCTACACATATATGTGTAGGTGTATTTGTGTATGTGAACTCTTTTTTCTTCTGTTTTTATTGCTACATAATACTTTTATGAATATACCACAATATGTTTGTGTTCCAGTATTGATGGACATTTGGATTGTTTCCAGTTTTGGCTATTAAGAATAATGCTGCTATTGATATTTTTGTACATGACTTACAGTGCAGATGAGCACACATTTCTGTTGGGTTTATACTAGACAGTGAAATGGCTGGATTATAAGATGTACATAGGCCCAGCTTTTACAAAATTAACACTAAACCATTTCCTGACGTATTTAATAGTAATTTATAGTCCTACCATCAGTGTATGGGAGTTCCAATTGCAGTACGTCCTTGACATGCCTCGTATTATCAGTTTTGTTCATTTCAGCCGTTCTACTAGGTGTATAGTAATATAATGTTGAGCATTTTTTCATATGTTCATTGACCATTTGGATGTATGCTTTTGTGAAATGGTGGCTAACTTCTTCTGTTCTTTTCTTCTGTTTACTATCTGTCTTTTTCTTTCAGATCTATAGAGTTTCTTTATATATTCTGTGTACAAGCCCTTTGGAGTTACGTGTTGCAAATATTTTCTCCACCCTGTGGCTTGCCTTTTCACTTTCTCCTATTTTTTTAAATTGTGTTAAAATATATATAACAAAACATTTACTATTCCTACCATTTTACATGTTCGATTAAGTGACGTTAATTACATTCACCGTATTGCACAACCATGACCACTCTCTGTTTCCAAATTTTTCATCACCTTTACCAGAAACTCAACACCACTTAAGCAATAAATCCTCATTCCCACCCACCCCCCTACTCCTGGTAACCACTAATACACTTTGGTTTCTATGCATTTGCCTATTCTAGATATTTCATGTAAGTGGGATCATATAATATTTGTCCTTTTGTGTCTGACTTATGTCACTCAGCATAATGTTTTCAAGGTTCATCCATGTTGTAGCATGTGTCATAACTTCATTTTTCTGTATGACTGAGTAATATTCTGTTGTATGGATATACTGCATTTTGTTTATTCACGCATCTGTGGGTGGACATTTGGGTTGTTTTCACCATTTGGCTATTGTGAATAGTGCTGTAGTGAATAGTGGTGTACAAGTATCTGTTGTGTTTCTGCTCATTGTGGTTTTGATTTGCATTTCTCTAAAGACTTATGACATCAAGCATCTTTTCATGTGCTTATTCACCATTCATTTATCTTCTTTGATAAAATGCCTATTTAAGTTCTATGACCCCACCCCATTTTTTAAAATTAAGTTGTTTGTCTTTTTGTTGTTGAGTTGTAAGAGTTCTTTATATATTCTGGATATTAAACCTTTGTCAGATATATGTTTCCCAAATATGTTTTCCCATTCTATATGCTGTCTCTTCACTTTGTTGATAAAATTTTTTGAGGTGCAAGTTTTAATTTGTTGAAGCCCCATTTATCTGTTTTGTCATTTATTGTTTTTGATGGCATATCTAAGAATACATTGTCAAAAACTAGATTCCAGAGCATTACCCTTTTGTTCTAAGAGTTTTATAGTTTAATTCTTACATTCAGGTCATTGATTCATTTTTAGTTAATTTCCATATGTGGTGTGAGGTGTGGGTCCTGCTTCATTCCTTAGCATGTGAAAATCCCATTGTCCCAGTACCATTTAGTGAAGAGACTTTCCCCCATTGAATGGACTTAGTACCCTTTTTGAAAATCAGTTGACCATAGATGTATGGGATTATTTCTGGAATTTCAATTCTATTCCGTTGGTCTGTATATCTGTTATTATACTGGTACCATACTGTTTTGATTACTGTAGTTTTATAGTACATTTTGAAATCAGAATGTGTGAATGTTCCTACTTTGATCTTCTTTTTCAAGATTGCTTTGGCTACTTCAAGCTCCTTGCAGTTTCATATAAATTTGAGGGTTGGCTTTTCCATTTCTTCAGAGAAGGCTGTTGGAATTTTGATAGGGATTATGTTGAAACTGTAGATTGCTTTGGGTAGTATTGACATCTTAACAATACTAAGTATTCCAATCTGTGTACAGTAAATGTCCTTCCATTTATTTAGGTCTTCTTTAATTTCTAACAACGTTTTACAGTTTTCAGTATGGAAGTCTTTCACCTTCCTAGTTAAATTTATTCCTAGGAATTTTATTCTTTTAGATGATATTACAAATTGAATTGTTTTCTTAATTTCCTTTTCAGATTGCTCATTGCTTTTGTAAAGAAACCCAACAGATTTTTGGGTATTGACCTTGTACCATGCCGCTTTGCTGAATTTATTTATCACCTCTAGCACCTGTCTTGTGGATTCCTTGAGATTTTCTACATATAGGATCATGTCTTCTTTGAACAGGGGTAGTTTTACATCTGCCTTTCCAATTTGTATATCTTTTATTTCTTTTTCTTGCCTAATTGCCCTGGCTAGGACTTCCAATACAGTATTAAATAGCACTGGTGAATGAGCATCCTTGTTTCTGATCTTAAGGGGAAAGTTCTCAGTCTTTCTCTATTGAGTATGATGTTAGCTGTGGGTTTTCATAAATGCCCTTTATCTTACTGAAGAGTTTCCCGTCTACTTCTAGGTTGTTGAGTGTTTTTATCATTAAAGGGTGTTGGATTTTGTCAAATGTCTTTTCTTTTTCAGTTGAGATTCACACATATATAATTGATTTTTTTTTACAAAGGTACCGAGGTAATTAAGTGGGAGAAGAATAGTCTTTTCAACAAATAGTGCTAAAAAATAACTGGATTCCCATGTAGAAAAAAAAAAAAAGAACCTCAACCTTTATCTTATACCATAGACAGAAATTAAATTGAATTGGAATATAAACCTAAATATAAAGACTAAAACTGTAAAGTTTATAGAACAAAAAGCATAAGAGAAAATCTTTGAGTCCTTAGGTTAGGTAAAAATGTCTTACAATACAGAAAGCACAAATGAGAGAAGAAAAAGGATAAATTGAACTTTATCAAAATTAGAATTTTCTGTTTTTTAAAGACAATATTTAAAAAATGAAAAGGCAAAATGTTTGTAATACATGTATCTAACAAAAGACTTGTATCCAAAATATATAAGACCAACATCCCAATAAGAAATGGACAAACAGGCACATGAGAAGACGTTCAACTTTATTACTCATCAGAGAAGTGCAAATCAAAACTACGTCGAGATACCAATACACACTCAATAGAGTGTCTAGAAATAAAAGAATGACAATATCATGTCAAAGTATTGACATGGTGAGCAGTAGAAACTCTCATACATTGCTGGTGGAACTTTAAAATGATAAACCACTTTAGAAAAAAGTTTGTAGTGTCTTGTACAGTTAAACATACACTTAACTATGTGACCTAGGCATTCCACTCCTAGGTTTTTACCCAAGAGAAACAAGAACGTATACCCACTAAAAGATTTAACAGGAATGTTAATAGCAGCATTATTCGTAATAGTAAAAGCTGGAAACAACCTAAGTGTCCATCAAATGATGAATCAATGAAAAATAGTATATCCATACAGTGGAACACTGCTCAGAAAAAAGAACAAAGTAATGATACATGCAACAGCATGGTTGGGGAATTTCCTACAAAAAAAACTCTAGGAAAAGGGGAATACACGTGCCAACTCATTTCATGGACTAATGAAACCTGCATTCTAAAACCTAACAAATACATTATGAGAGAGGAAAATAAAAGGCCGATTTCTTTTATATACTTAGATGTAAAAATTACAAATATTAACAATTGAAATCCAGTCATAATCGTGGTTACTTTTTTGGGGTAGTGCCTAATGAGGGAGGTTTCTGAATTTCTGGTAATATTTTATACACTGATCTAGGTGGTGAGTGCATGGGCGTGTTCACTTTTTGAAAATTTATTGCTTTATACTTATGATTTATGTACTGTTCTGTAGTACACTGGAGCCCTTGTGGCACAGTGGTTAAGAGCTCGGCTGCTAACCAAAAGGTCGGCAGTTCAAATCCACCAGCCAGCTCCTTGCACACTCTATGGGGGCAATTCTGTCCTGTAGGGTTGCTATGAGTTGGAATTGACTTGACGGCAATGAGTGTGATTTTTTGGTTTCGGGTTTATAATAGGCTATCCTTCAATTAAAAAAAATGTTACTGTTCCTCCTCCTCTCCCCAAAACGAGCAGAATCGCACAAAAGGACAAATACAAATAGCCCATGGATATATGAAATGATGTGTACCTACTAGGAATTTGTGAAATTATAGTTAAAACTAGGATGAAGTTGCCAGTGAGATTGGTAAAATTTAAAATTTCTGAAAACTCTAAGCATTAGTAAGGATGTGGAGCCATACAAACTCTAATCTGCTGATGTTAGTGGAAGGTATTGCATCTACTTGTGAAAACAGTTTGATAGTAATACTTAATGCAATTCCATTCTTAGATACATAACACCATAGAGGCTTTTGCACATGAATACCAGGAGGCGTGCTCAAGGATATCATAGTGGTTCTGTGCATAAGAGCAAAAATCTGGAAACAATACAAGTATTCCTCAGCAGTGTAGTGGACATATAAATAGTGGCTGTTTCATAAATTCATACAACATAGCAGTGAAAATAAGTGAACTGTCAACGTGGATAAATTTTAAAGATACATTGTTTTATAAAACAAGGAAGTCACAGGAGAATATATGCAATATTATTCCCTTTTCCTGCACGATAGAAACTGGTAGAAGTAAGTAGTGTATTATTTACTGCATAATTCATAGAAGGTTAAAAAAAAGCAAAAGGCATTGTTAGGTTTAGGGAGTATGATCAGGAGAAGCACCTAAGGTGCTTCTAGGCCAGGTTATAGTTAATGTTTTTCTATTGGCCTGGGTGGATATCTTTTAATATTATTATTTTTTAACTGCATTATATGTTTTTATATACTATATTTGCCAGAATAGTAGAAAAGTAAATTTACTGAAATATCTTTTAAAAAGTTGAAAGGAAAACCACAAGCTTTCCAACTGTAGAAGCTTTAAATGTTATGGGTTGCAGCTGCCTGTCAAGGGTGCCCTGAAGGCATTTTCCTTATTTAGAGAGGTGTTGAGTTAAAGTATATCTAAGATTTCTATCTGCTCGAAGCCTCTCATCAAGGATATTATTATAACAGCTCTACAGTTTATGTGAGGAGTCCCTTAGTGGTGCAAAAGGTTAAGCACTCGACTACAAGCGGAAAGCTTGACGAATTGAATCCACCCAGCAGTGCCTTGGAAGAGAGGTCTGGTGATCTCTCTGCTGTTGAAAGGTCACAGCCTTGAAAACCCTATGGAGCAGCTCTACTCTGCACATATGGGGACACCATGAGTCAGAATCAACTCGTTAGCAACTAACAACAGCAGCTTATGTATAGTATTTAGATTCTGAAAGCCGTTTCTTTAAACCTTTTTTTATAATTTACTTTTCTATATTGTCTGTTTTTGTCAACATTGTCTTAGAATGTTGAATAGGAGTCTTTGTGCTAACTGGTAGTGAATTACTTTTTTTCCAGATTCAAGGGTCCAATTCTTTTGGAACATCACAGATTTCACAGAAAATGTTTCCCGTTTTGGAACTTCCTCCACCCATTATTGAAGATGGTAAAATGAAGCTATTTAAGGAAATTTCACTTTTTAAAATTATGTTATGAAAATAATTTTCATTTTGAGATATATTTTATTGAAATGGCCATATTAAAAAATCCAGGCAATAGCAGATACTTGTATATTTTCAAGAAAGTTTTACAAAAATTCCTTTAAAGCAATATAATTTGGATGTTCCTTAAAGTTGCTTTTGCAGTGGGATGGATTTTTTTTAAATACAAGGACCACTAGTAAGTTAATCATCTTTATCCTGCTCTGAGCTAAGAGACCTCATGAAATTTCATAGCTGTCTAATTTGTAATTTGTTAGTTACTTGCAGAAGTTTGGTTATAGTAAAAAAAATTTGTTTTTACTTTTCATATAATTTTTTTTGTTAATAAAGGACGTTTCACATATGAAGAGTTGTAAATATTTTTAAATCAAATGTCTGCTTTTTATTGACCACATTAGTAATAAAAAGAAATGTATTTCTAAATTCATAAGATTTTTAAAATTGTTAAATGTTAAAATACAGAGATTGCCATGTTGATCTAAACGATATTTTCCTTAGTGCGTGATGACTGGGAAGGCAACGAAGGAGATATTGCTTTGTGAGGTCATCTACCCTAACTTCGGTCTTAAATTATTAGCAATATACTTCAAATCATGTTAGTTTCCTTTAGTACCCTCATTTAGAGCTTGACTAATGGATTGAATGCTTTTCAGTTTTCAGTCCTTTTTGCTATGTTATGTACCAATTTTTTAATATCAAATTCTAGAAGTATATTTCTAGAAACCTCAGGGACTGCCCTCTGCTTCTAATATTGCAGAGTTTACAGTTAAGTCCTGTTATACTGGAGCCCTGGTGGCACAGTCGTTGAGAGCCTGGCTGCTCACCAAAAGGTTGGCCATTTGAACCCACCAGCTGCTCCTTGGTAACCCTATGGGGCAGTTCTACCCTTTCCTATGAATCGACTTGATGGCAGCAGGTTTGCTTTTTTTTTTTAATACTATCTAGGTAGAATGAGCATATTGCATGTTCCTGTGAGTATTCATGGTATGTATATCACTGGCACTGTTAACTTGATGTAAAAATTTCTTAAATAATTTTTAGATAGAATATTGACTTTAAAAGATGTATTCATTAATCTAAAGATTACATTTTGTAATTTTACATACTTTTTTTTCTGTCATCAAGAATGTTATTTGTTCAAAGGAAATAGAATATTCTTTTATATTTAATTCTCATGTTTACTTTCATTTTTTGAAATAGATCCTTAGTGTTTAAATGTTCATCTCCATTTTGGAAAAATTATAAAAATGTTATAATTAAATCAGTTATTTTGATTATTGATTTAAACATGTTCTATGAAATTTAGACTCAGAGGAGGAATTTTTTGATGCACCATGTAGTCCCTTGGAAGAGCCTCTTCAGCCCCCGACTACAGTTAAATGTTTTAGACACAGACAGTTTCAAAAGCAGGACTGTTCAAAAAATATGACCGAGTGTAAAATAAGATTTGAGGTATCAGAGGTATGTACCATGGTAAAATTAATGTGGCTTATTTAAATAGTTTGTCATTTCTACCATTCATAGACTTTATGTCTCATTGTTGATAAACACTGTTGTTTTTACTCTAATTAAGCTAAATCCAGATGTTGCTGTGTGGTTTTTTTTCCTCTGTTTTTTGAAGATAAACTTTCTTAAGAATTAAGTGTTTCGATAACATTGTGGATTTTCAATGTACATTTATTGAAATGATTATTTATATAATGTATGTGTTTTGTGTGTATGTATATAAAATCTCAGATTTTAAATTCATAACATGAATTCATATCATACATATACCTCAGATGTTCATATATAACTGCCATCTACATACACAATATTTTGTTTTATGCAGTGGTTGTTTCTCTTTTCCTTCTTTCCAGGTTTTGATTCAGTTTTATCACTTTGTTGGAGATTGTGAACTACCTGTGGTAGAATTTGATGTTTTAGGATTGGGGACACAAATTGAGTTTAGAACATTTGATTTGAAAGCAAATGCTTTTTTGAAAGAGTTCTGCTTAAAATGCCCAGAGTACTTGGGTAAGAATCTGTATTTTAAATTTTTTTTTTTTTTTTTTTACTTTTGGTGGCAATATACACAACTAAACATATATCTGTTCATAGTTTCTGCATGTGCAGTTCAATGACATTGGTTACATACGTCACAGTGTGTCCTGTCACCATTCTTACTCTGCCTGTATTGTTACTACTGTTAATTTAGACTCTGCCCCTTAAAGTTCTCATCTGTGCTTTAGGTTAACTGTTGTCAGCGTGAACTCGGATAATTTGTTATAAGAGTGCAAGGCTCAAGGCCAACAAGAATCTCTACTTTTTAAAATAAGTAAATTAATTTCACCGTTTACTACCTACTGGAGACTTTTAGATCCCTAGGCTTTGTGCCAGTACATTTGCGAAAATATTCTCGGAGAAAGATTACATTATGAGTTAGTTTTTGACTCTTATCATATAGGTGGGAATTTAGGTGGGTAGACCAAAGAGAAAATGAAGATAATTTACTTTTTATTAAGAAAAACAAAACATTCGTGGTTGAATGTTAAATCTTACCAGAATACTAGAACACTGACTTAGTTGTCTAATGCTACTATAACAATTTACCATAACCTTAGTGGCTTAAAACAATGCAGATTTATTATCTTACGCTTCTGTAGGCCAGAAGTCTGATACAGCGCTCATTAGGCTAAAACAAAGGTGTCAGCAGGGCTGCGTTTCTTTTTGGAGGCTCTAAGGGAGGATGCATTTTCTGGCTCATTCTGGTATTGGCAGAATTCAGTTCCATGCTGTTAAGTCTGCCTTTCCTTGCTTGCTGTTAGCCAGGGGCTTTCCTTAGCTCCTAGAGGCCTCTCTGTGGTCCTTGCACATAGTTCCTTCCATCTCAGAACTAACAACAGGGCATCCAGTCCTTCTCATGCCACCATATCTCTGACTTCCCCTTCCACCTTTCTTTTCCCTTTTTAAGAACTCATGTAATTAGATTGGCCTCACCTAGAAAATCCAGAAAAATATCTTTATTTCAAGGTCCTTAACCTTAGTCACGTCTGCAAAGTCCCTTTTGGTGTATAATGTGACAAATTCTCAGGTTCCCAGGGACTAAGGTGTGGTCATCTTTAGGGGGGCATTATTCTGCCTACCACACTTTATGTCCCTGAATCATAATGGATAAATTATATGATCTTTAAGAAAGTATTTCTGTTTTAACTGTGTTAGCCATTCAGGAGGGTATTATTTATATTTCTACTTTTAATTTTTTCCTTGAAAAATAATTCTGAATGATAGAGGGAATGACTAAGACAATTATTCAATAGTTTAATTTTATTAAACTCCTTTACAGCATAATAACGTTATATATACATAGAGATGACATTAAAGTTAAGAAAAAAGGTGGTAGTGTTTTAACTTTATTTTTGAGATCACAGGAATGTGTTCTGCCTGTATGTGTATAAAAGCACTTTTTGCCATTCAAATTCCAGTATTCCTTTGATGATTTACTTTCTAATGTTTATAGTTCGTTCATATTTTAAATAGAAGCTGTCTTATGAAATATTTTGAACTCATTTAGGGAAATTTTCCCCAATAAATTGAAATATTTAAAACGAGAGTTATAGAACTAAATTAAAAGTGAAAATTTAAATCCTAACTTCTACCTACGGGAAATTAAGAAAGGTAGTGAATATGCCTATATAGGGTTGCTGTGAGTTGGGATGGACTCAATGGCAATGGGTTTTTTTTAAAATGCCTGTAAGCATCTCAAAGATTTAAGAAGCCATCCTGTCTGGCAACCCATTCTTAGGTAAGGAATTAGTTAACTAGTGTCATGAAAATGTCCTTTTTTCACTTTTGTGCCCTGGACCAAAACTTATTTCTGTACTTTAGGGGGCAAATTTAAGGAGTGTGGTCCAAAGCTCAGTCAGTGGTTCCATACATGTGCTGTAGCCCTTGACAGCTTGATTGTGGTGGATTGTGATTATGGCTGTCTGTGCTAAGGGAACCACCATGTATAGCATATCCACAGTTTTATTATGCTTTTTACATCAAGAAAAAGTTTACTCTGATAATAGGAAGAAAAATGAACTAATTTCATAGTGTTCTCTAGTGATCCAGTGGTATTACAGCAGTTTTTAATTTTTATGTTTATTTTCATTTTTTTTCCTTTGTTTTTCCAAGAGCAAAGGATAGGAAAATCCTTGCACACAGAATACAGGGTATTCAGTTATCACTACACTTATTTGTTTCTCTAATATTTTTGCTTCTGTTTTCTTAGAGGGAGTGGGAAGAAATGAATAGCACAGTTTCTTGCACAAAGTAAATGATCAGTAAATAGTTGTTGAAAGAATGAACATGTGAAAAAAGTAGGGACCTTTTTAAGAGTTGAAATGTGGCTAGCACCAGCAGTAGAAGACTGGCATGTGTACTAAACTTTTAAATTTTGGAGGACTCTGTAAAATTTGTTGCATTTTCCCCTCAGGAAAAGTGTGATTGGTATGTAGTCCTTTTACCCAGTATCTAGGTATTAATTTCTGGTATCCGTAAGTGATTTGATGATGATAGTTTTAAAGTCTTTATACAAAATGTTCTTCTACAGCAGTGCACCCACTTAGTTCTTAGGTTGTGAGTGGAAGTAGTAATACAACCTGTGGTGACTGATTATGTTTTAATAGGGTTTATTGTAATCTAAGCTAATATACAGAAAAACTTAACTTCTCATTACATACCTGATCTGTCTTCTAAACAACTGGCTTTTCAGGGACTCTGCCAGTTTTCTTTCTAGCTGTTTCTGTGACCCAGTGCCAGAATTCTCTTCATGTCCTTTCGTTGTTCTTAGTAACTATTCTGTTTTTTCTTTAAGTGCTTGCTAATTTTTTTCTTAACATCCTACCTTGGTTTTGAGGGGTATGAGATATTAGCATTGTGGCATAAGAAAAGGGAAGCAAATTGTGAGGAGATATCAGATTTTTAGAGTTTAAAATAAAGAAGGGACCTCACTTGGGTAAGATAGAATCTAAGGCTCAGAACTGATACAGGAAAACTTTCATTTCTAATTCTATAATCATTAATATTGCATATGTTTTCAGTTAGAGTTTTCCTATGAAAGGATAATTTTAAAAATTATTTTTAGATGAAGACAAGAAACCAGTTTATGTGATTACAACACTGGATAACACCATGGAAGATCTGTTAACACTGGAATATGTGAAGGTAAGCAGTTCCAGTTACATCTGCTTAATATAGCAAGTGTGCTGCTGAAATAGTATAATCAAGTTTTGTAAATTTAGTAATATTCTACATTGCTTTCAGTTTGTTGTGTCTTCATTCTGATGTGGTCTCTGTAACTCCTAAAACTTTGAGGGTTTTTTTTTTTTTTGTATCATCTTCCTCTATTAAATAGTTGTGATTTATAAATGCTTCATATAGCAAAATGATAAGATTCCTGTGTTCTAAGTAGAAATGACCTGCTGTTTGATTTTTTCCCTATCAGTATATTAAAAAGGAAAAATACTTTTTAGTCTTTATGGAATTGATTGTGGTATGTGATGTGAGATGGATGAGGCTTTCACTTGTTTTTACACCCTTGTCTGAAGTTACCTAATTTTCCTGTCATCCATTCCTTTCCTATTGATTTATGATATGCGTTTTATCATATATTAAGTTTTATTATGTACTGTGGTCTCATTTCTGATCTATTTTAGTTTCTGTTGACCTGTTTTTATGTGCCACATTATTGTAATATGCATAATGTTAAAAGAGCGTTTTATTGCTTTTAAGGTCATGTTTGCTATCAAGTATTAATGTAGATAAATAATTGGATTTTTGTTGTGTATGCATTAAATGGCTTTTAAATTATAAAAGATTTCCAGATCTAAAGAAAACGTAGAGTGTTTGGATACTTGCTGTACAATCCTATCACAAGTTTAGTTTTCAACTACAGGAAGAATTAGGAAGGACTTTACAGGTTTGCTAGTGACTGAATGGTTGTATCTACACTTGATAATATCTGTCATTTCCACTTTTGATAATAAAAATGATAGCATGTAACATTTATTGAATACTTGCTATGTGCCAGAGAGTCTCATACTTACTAAATTTCTTTTGTTCTGATACTTGTTTAGGTAAAGTATATATATACACGCACACATACAGCTGGAAAATTATATAAATGTATATTAAGACATCATGTAGGTGTATATACATATGTTTTCCTAAAGTATTCTAACAGATTTGTTTTCTCATTGGATAGGCAGAAAAGAATGTGTCAGACTTGAAGAGTACCTATAACAATGTTGAGCAACTGGTCAAGGTATAAATGAATAATAATTTATTTTTAATGAGATATTGCATCTTTATTTCCAAGTAGATATATTATGAAAAGTATTCCTTACCTAGAATTGTAATATCCTTGAGTATACAAAAACCCAAAACCAAACCCAGTGCTGCCAAGTTGATTCCAACTCATAGCGACCCTTATAGGACAGAATGGAACTACCCCATAGGGTTGCTAAGGCTGTAAATCTTTATGAGGAGATGCCACATCTTTTTCCCGTGAAACGGCTGGTGGAGTCAAACCACCAACCTTTCGGTTAGCAACCAAGTGCTTTAACCACCATGCCACCAGGGATCCTTGAGGATACAAACAGAATATCATATGTTGTATCCTTTATATCACAAATCATTGTGCCTTATACAAAGCAGGCAAGCAAATGCTTATTGCTCTGTTACTAAAATTAAAATTTGTTTTTTAGGTGAATTTTTCTTCTTTGGATATTCATTTACATACTGAAGCACTTCTGAATACCATGAATTATTTTAATAATATCCTTCCACAATCAGAGGAGAAATCAGCCCCGGCGCATATTGTGGAGAATGAAGACAAAGGGGATGTCATCAAAAAAATATGTATGTTTCTTTAATTTCACTGCAGATATTTTTACCAAGTATAGCAATAAATTTACTCTCTGGCTTTATTATAACTGATAATATTGGCTTCAGAATACGAGTGCCTAGATTAAAATATAGATGGATTCATTGTATACCAGGTTAATTTTAGTAAATAATGGTAAAGGAAACTAATTACTGCTGATGAAAATGTGACTTTTATTTATCATACAATTGGTTTTAGTTGAGGATTATGCAGTAGAAATATTTAATTTAGAGTAAAATTCGTGCATTTAAAATAATTAAAAAATATGACTAAAAAATTTGTTATACCGGAGTCCTTTTTTTAAAAATCAGACTACTTAAAAAAGCAGTGAAAAGTTGCAGTTTTGGTAGTGACAAGTTCACCTAGTAGTTAGCTTCAGTGTTTTTTTATTGCATGAATATATCAAAGTGTATTCATTCTCCTACTGATGAACATTTAGATTATTTTCAGTTTAAAAATGCTGTTTTTGTTAGGTGCTGTTGAGTCGGTTCCGACTCATAGCAACCCTGTGTACAGCAGAACAAGATGTTGCCTGGTCTTGTGCCATTCTTACAAGCGCTGCTGTGCCTGAGCCCATTTTTGCAGCTACTGTGTCAATCCAACATTCTAGAAACACTCTTCTACATATTTCCTATGTTCATGAGCTAGTACTTCTCTAAGGAATAGAATTATTAGGTTGTGGGCTATGTACATCTTCAACTTCACGGGATATTGCTAGGTTGCTCTTCAATGTGATTGTCAGCTACAATTTCTTAATTTCAGATGTTAGGTTCCCCTAGGAACAGTGCTTTCTTTTGTCTACCTATTTATTTTTGTTTGGCTTTGTTTTCATTAGATCTGGTTGTGTTTTTAGAATTCCCCATTTGGTAGGGAATATCTTATTTGCTTCCAAATGAATTGAAAGTAAGGTTTTTTCTAGTATTATCATTATTATTTGATGTGATATTTTCAGTTACTTTATGAGTGTAGTGAGGTAACTACTAAAAGTTTTTCCTATTGTTTTGCAATATTTTTTTGTGTTCTACAGCTTCTAAATTATCCAAGGATGAAGATATTATTACCTTGCAGATTTTTGCAGAATTGTCATGTTTACGGATTTTTATTCAAGACCAGAAACATAAAATTTCTGAAATTAAAATTGAAGGTAATAAAATTTCAGAAAAAAATAAATTCAAAAGTATTAAATTAAAGAAGAGGCATCTAATCATCCTTTTCTTCCTATAGGACTTGATTCTGAAATAATTATGAGACCTAAAGTAACTGAAATAAATGCAAAACTAAGAAATATAATTGTTTTGGATTCTGATGTAATGGCTGTATACAAAAAGGTATGAATTTATTTTTGTTAACTAGTGTTGTTGTTGTTAGGTGCTGTCAGGTTGATTTTAACTCATAGCAACCCCATGTACAACAGAACGAAACACTGCCCAGTTCTGTGCCTACCTCACAGTCATTGCTATGTTTGAACCCATAGTTGGCAACCACTGTGTCAGTCTGTCTTCCTCTTTTTCCCTGACCCTCTGCTTTACCAAGCGTGATGTCCTTCTTCAGGGTCTAGTCCCTCCTGATAACATGTCCAAAGTACATAAGGTGAAATCTTCCCATCCTTGCTTCTGAGGAGCATTCTGGCTGTACTTCTTCCAAGACGTATTTGTTCTTTCTTCTAACACTCCATGGTCTGTTCAGTATTCTTCACCAGCACCATAATTCAAATGCATCAATTCTTCTTCAGTCTTCCTTATTCATTGTCCAGCTTTCACATGTGTACGAGGTGATTGAAAATACCATGGCAAGGGTCTGGTGCACCTTAGTTCTCAAAGTGACATCTTTACTTTTTAATACTTTAAAGAGGTCTTTTGCAGCAGATTTGCCCAGTGCAGTGCATCGTTTGATTTTTTGACTGCTGCTTCCATGAGTGTTGATTATGGATCCAAGTAAATGAACTCCTTCACCATGCCAGTATTTTCTCCATTTATCATGTTGCTTATTCGTCCATTTGTGAGGATTTTTGTTTTCCGTATATTGAGATGTAATCCATTTTAAAGGCTGTAGTCTTTGATCTTCATTAGTAAAGTGCTTCAAGTCTTCCTCACTTTCAGCAAGCAAGGTTGTATCATCTGCATATCTCAGGTTGTTAATGAGTCTGCTTTCAGTCCGGATGCCGTGTTGTTCTTCATATAGTCCAGCTTCTTGGATTATTTGCTCAGCATAGACTGAATAAGTATGGTAAAAGGATACAACCCTGACACACACCTTTCCTAATTTTAAACCACGCAGTATCCCCTTGTTCTGTTTGGACGACTGCCTCTTGGTTTATGTATAGGTTCCTGTCTTAGTCATCTAGTGCTGCTGTAACAGAAATACAAGTGGATGCCCTTCTACAAAGAGAAATTCATTCTCTGACGGTTGAGTAGGCTACAAGTCCAAACGCAGGGCATCAGCTCCCGGAGAAGGCCTTCTCTCTCTGTCAGCTCTGGAGGAAGGTCCTTGTGATGCATCAGTCTTCCCTTGGTCTGGGAGCATCTCAATGCAGGAACCTCAGGTCCAAAGGATGCGCTCTGCTCCTGGCACTGCTTTCTTGGTGGTATGAGGTTCCCGTGTGTCTCTGCTTACTTCCATCTTTTATATCTTGACAGTATCCAATCTTGTATACCTCATCAGTATAACTGCTGCTAATCCATCTTATTACATCATAGTGGTAGAGTTTACAACACATAAGGAAATCACATCAGATTACAAAATGGTACGCAATCATACAATACTGGGAATCATGACCCAGCCAAATTGATACATATATATTTGGGAAGACATAATTCAATCCATGCCAGCTCTGCATGAGCACAATTAAGTGTTCTGGAATTCCCATTCTTTGCAGTGTTATCCATAATTTGTTATGATCCACACAGTCGAATGCCTTTGTATAGTCAATAAAACGTAGGTGAACATCTGTCTTAGTTATCTAGTGCTGCTATAACAGAAATACCACAGGTGGATTGCTTTAACAAAGAGAAATTTATTCTTTCACAGTCTAGGAGGCTAGAAGTCTGAATTCAGGGTATGAGCTCTAGGGGAAGGCTTTCTCTATCGGCTCTGGGGATAGGTCCTTGTCATTAGTCTTCCCGTGGTCTAGGAGCTTTTCAGCACAGGGACTCCAAGTCCAATGGACAGGTCCTTCTAGCTCTTCTTGCTTGGTGGTAATGAGATGCCCCTGTCCCTCTGCTCGCTTCTCTGTTTATATCTCAAAAGAGGTTGAGTTAAGACACAACCTCATCTTGTAGATTGAGTCCTGTCTCATTAACATAACTCCCTCTGATCCTGCCTCATTAACATCATAGAGGTAGAATTTACAACAAATAGGAAAATCACATCAGATGACAAAATGGTGGACAATCACACAATACCGGGAATCATGGCCTAGCGAAGTGGATGCATATTTTTGGGGATACAATTCAATCCATGACAACATCTTTCTGCTATTCTCTGCTTTCAGCCAGTATCCATCTGACATCAGCAATGATATCCCTCCTTTCATGTCTTCTGAATCCAGCTTTAATTTCTGGCAGTTCCCTATCAGTGTACTGCTGCAACTGCTTTGGAATTATCTTTAGCAAAATTTTACTTGTGTGTGATATTAATGATATTGTTAGATAATTTCCGTGTTCTGTTGGATCACTTTTCTTTGGAATGGGCACAGATATGGATCTGTTATAGTCAGTTAGCCAGGTAGCTCACTTCCAAATTTCTTAGCATAGATACGTGAGCCTTTCCAGCACTGAATGTATTTTTGGAAATTCTCAATTAGTATTCCGTCAGTTCCTGGAGCCTTGTTTTTCATCAATACCTTCATTGCAGCTTGGACTTCTTCCTTCAGTACCATTGGTTCTTGGTCATATGCTGCCTCCTGAAATGGTTGAACGTCAACTAATTCTTTTTGGTACAGTGACTTTGTGTATTCCTTTTATGTTCTTTTGGTACTTCCTGTGTTGTTCAAATATTTTGCCTATAGAATCCTTCAAAATTGCAACTCAAGGCTTGAATTTTTATTTCAGTCCTTTCAGCTTGAGAAGTACCAAGTGTGTTCTTCCCTTGTGGTTTTCTAACTCCAGGTCTTTGCACATTTCATGACAGTACCATAGTTTTATGCAAATAATGCACTTCTGCGTTTGTTTGCTGGCCGTACACTCCCCATGTGAGTTATTTTTGTAAACTCTCTATGCTAAGTTTTTTTACAGCAACATGTGGAAGAGAATTGTCATGGTGGTGCTTGTGAAGGTGCCTCATGGGGAGAGGGCACAACCAGCAAACAAACGCAGAGGCCACGCATTATTTGCATAAAAATATGGGACTTTACTTTGTCTTCTCGAGTTGTTCTTTGAAATCTCTGTTCAGCTCTCGTACTTCATCATTTCTTTTGTTCACTTCAGGTACTCTATGTTCAGAAGCAACTTTCAGAGTCTTTTCTGACATCCATTTTAGTCTTTTCTGTCTTTTTGTTGACCTTTTGATTTCTTCATGATGTCCTTGATGTCACCTCACAACTTGTCTTCAGTTGTTAGTATTCAGTGTGTCACATGTATTCTTGAGATGATCTCTAAATTCAGGTGGGATATACTCGGGGTTGTACTTTGGCTCTCGTGGACTTGTTTTTATTTCTTCAGCTACACCTTGAACTTGCATATGAGCAATTGATGAGCAATTGATGGTTGTTCTGCGACCTGCCCCTGGCCTTATTCTGACTGATGATATTGAGCTTCTCCATCATCTCTTTGCACAGTTGTAATCGATTTGATTCCTGTGTATTCCATCTGTTTTATGTTGTTGAAAACAGGTATTTGCAAGCCACCATAGTAGGAGAAACTGACAGACCGTGGTGGATTAACTGACAGCACATCATTAAATATGATTGTCTTCTAAGACTGGTTGTAGCTATAAATTGCATAGACAGTTGTCTGCTTTTTATCATTGTGGCTTTTTAGAAAGTGCATGGCTTTGGAGCCAGGCTTAATTGCGTTCCTGTCTCCCTATTAGTTGTTTGACCATTAGCAAGTTACTTTTTCTCTGATTCTCTTTCTTTATCTGTTTAATGAGGATTATTGTAGTCTCATAAATGGGATAAGTAATAGTCTTGGAACATATGTGGGGGAATATGTTAATAAATACACGTTTTCACTTCCGTTCTTTTTATTCTTTTCTTCAATTATTGCGAACCTAGCAACGAATTTCAGATTTCAACATCAGAGGTCTTGAAGTCACGTTGAAAATCAGAATTTTTTTTTTAGCTTATTTTCATGATTGCTTACTAGCAAAGTTGTTACAATGTTAAGAGAGGTATTTGAACTGGATGGGTAATGATTGAAAGGGCAGATGTTTTGTTACTGGGTGCAAGGCCATAAGGTTTGTGGACTAGATACTGTTGTGGAGTTGGACAGGTAACTCTTAAACAATGTGGCATCTAGCAAGAATGGTGTATATAAAACAGTGAAGAGAATCAAGTAGTAGGTTCAGGATAAGCTGAAGTACTTGTTGAGTCAGGAAGTATGAGTTTGAAGCATGGGGAAAGTGAAGGGAGAAAGGAGATAGATGAATACGCTATCTATATTAGTTCGATATAGTGATGACCTCATTTTTATGAAAAAAATTCTTATTATATTTTCTTATGGCATGCCAACTTGAGATAAAAAGAATCTAAAACCATCAAAGGGGCATGGCACATAGAAATAAGGAACAAGAAATTTTCCAGAAACCATGGTTTGATTTGCTTATATTACTTTTACTTTAAAAAAATCATTATATTACAGTATTCAAGAAGTACATTATCCATTTTATTTGCCCTGTCTAGAAAGCACACAGAAATAAATTGATCTACTGAAAGTCATATAAGTAGTGATGGAACTGATATTATAACCTCAGCCATTGACTTTTTTCTCTGTAATTTTATTTTTAGTATTTTTTTTCCATTTAAAAATTCAAAATATAAAAAATTACAAAATGAAAAGTCTTTCTCACTTAGGTCTTTTTGCAGCCCCCTCCCTCATCTCCCTCCTGCTATTCCTTTACTTTGATTCCAGCAGATGTGTATTTTAAACAAACCACTGTTCAGTAGCTCTCCATGTTCAGGAAACAGAAAACCACTTGCCGTTGAGTATACTCCAGCTCATGGTGACCTCGTGTGTCATAGTGGAACTGTGCTCCATCGGGTTTTCAGTGGCTGATTTTTCAGAAGCAGGTCACCAGGCCTTCCTTCCAAGTCACTTCTATCTAGGTGGACTCGAACTTCCACCCTTTTTGTTAGCAGCTGAGAGCATTAACCATTTTCACTACCCAGGCACTCCCAAGGAAACACAGAGATAAGCTTTTGCTCAAGATCAGAGCTTTCCTAATCATTGTGCCATGACAAACTATTGTGCCCTGAATGAATTTTAGGTATAATAATATATTAAGATAATTAACTTTCTGTACAGTTGAGTAAAAGCTGGAATACCATTTGCCTCTGTCCTGGAGCAGCACCCTCCATTACCCTAGTAGCACTGTACAAATACTGTCATTACTTCTGTGTACTGTAAGATGAAAGGAGCTCTGGTGGTGCAGTGGTTAAGAGCCCTGCTGCTAACCTAAAGGTCGAAAGTTCAAATCCACCAGCCGCTCCTTGGAAACTCTATGGGGCAGTTCTGTTCTGTCCACAATATATACTTGGCAGTTGATTTGGCTGTTCACAAACTAATAAGGAACGGAAGTATAGAGGTAGGAGGAGACCCCTTTGAAGAATTTTGGAAATCTACTCAAGCGCTTCACACAAAAAGAAGTGGATTTCAATATGTTGCATAGGTACAGTTTCTTCATACTTTTTTGACAGTGATCCAAGAAATACATTTATATAGCTACTCTCAGTATGCAAATATACATACTAAATAAAGATGCATATTCTGATATTTTTTCTTCTATTCTCCTCTATTAAAAATGAAATGCTGGATAACAGTTTTATAAAGATAATGTTCTGCATTCTACCTTGGTGAGTAGCGTCTGGGGTCTTGAAAGCCTGTGAGCAGCCATTTAAGATACTCCATTGGTCTCACCCCTTCCGGAGCAAGGGAGAATGAAGAGAACAGGATATAAAGAAAAGATTAGTCCAAAGGACTAATAGACCACAGCTACCAAGGCCTCTACCAGACTGAGTCCAGTACAGCTAGATGGTGCCCAGCTACCACCACTGACTGCTCTGACTGGAATCATAACAGAGGGTCCTGGACAGAGCTAGAGAAGGATGTAGAACAAAATTCTGACTCACAAAAGAAAGACCAGATTTACTGGCCTGACAGTGACTGAAGAAACCCTGAGAGTATGGCCCCTGGACACCGTTTTAGCTCAGTGGTGAATTTACTTCCAAGGTTCACCGTTCAGCTGGGGATTGGACAGCCCCATAAAACAAAACGAGACTAGTTAGGCACAGCAGTCCAGGGACAAGGATTAGAAAGCAGGAGGGGACAGGAAAGCTGGTGATAGGGAACCCAAGGTTGAGATAGGACAGTGTTGACATGTCGTGGGATTGTTAACCATTGTCATAGGTCAATATGTGTACTAACTGTTTAATGAGATACTATTCTGTTCTGTAAACCTTCATCTAAAGTCCAAAAAAAAAAAATAGAATTCTCTGTGTGAGATCAAATTGACAACAGCAACTCAAAAGGTTTGATGGGAAGCGTAGGGGGCAGTGAGTTGAAGATAATGGTGATGGAATAATTTGGAAAAGGACAGTGAGAATAGCAGCACAACTGGAAGAACGTAATCAATGTCACTGAATTGTACATGTAGAAACTTTTGAAATGCTATAACTTTGGCTATGTATATTTTCACCCAAAAAAAGGTCCTGCAAGGTCAAGAAGGGAGAGTGTTGACATGTTGTGGCTTTGTTAACCAATGTCATAAAACAATATGCGTATTGACTGTGTGATGAGAAACTACTTATTCTGTAAACCTTCACCTAAAGTACAATAAAAAATAAATTAAAAAAAAAAATGAAATACTGGCCCAGACCTATTAAATTTGATCTCATGACCCATAAAGAGAGCTACTCCCATCAATTTGAAAAACTTTGCAGTGTTGGCTCTAATAAGGGTGTTAGAATTATTGCCTTATTTGTGCTTGTCTTTAATACCTGGAAGATTTTCCAAATATGTGTGCATATTTTATTATTATTTTGCTTTGTACTGAAAGCGCATCATATCAAAACTGGATTGTGATAATTGAATTTTCTCTTTTAAAGGCTGTTTATATCACTGGAAAAGAAGTCTTTAGCTTCAAAATGGTTTCTTACATGGATGCAACTGCTGGTTCTGCATATACAGACATGAATGTGGCTGACGTTCAGGTTAATTTAACTGTTGGTTGCATTGAAGTAGTTTTTGTCACAAAATTTCTGTATTCTATATTGGTAAGTATGGTAATAAGCTTTTTTAAATTCTTTTATGTTAGTTGGAAATTGTGTGCTATGCATCAAACATAGGTGAAACATAAAAATTCTTTGACTTTTATTTTTCATAATTTTAGGTGTAACTTTTATAATAATGGCTGAAATATGTAATGCCTTATTTACATGACATTTTCACATGGGAATATTTCACTTAATTAAAAAATATATTTTATATAAACATGTTAAATACATACATATTTTCATATATACTATATGTAGTATATAAATTGAATTTTATATTTTATACATCATTTGTTTAAATCTTCCTTTGTTCTGCCTCACATGCAACTCTAATTAGAAAATACTAAATATCTAATTGAATTTTGTTTTGATCTCAGATCATTATTAAGAAAACCAAGTGCATCATAATTCTGTGAATATCTGAATATCTGGGTCTTTAGGGCGCATCTATTTTGTTCCTAGATGAGGTGTTTGAGTCCTGTTCCCCCTTTTCATAGTTTTTGTTTGTGTGTTTGTCTTCTACCCTTACTGTCAGCTGATATTTTTTCCTGTGAGTGGAATATCTGTTTATGACTTCACTATTCATTTTTCTAAAATATTCTCTCTCATTTTTTTGGAGTAGAAACTAGATCATCAAATCTAAGACTCTAATAGAATATATAGGCCATTGCAGCAATAAATGAGCAAAGAATGCATTTGTATATTTCGTTGCGTATATTTTAGGGATATAGAGCCCTCTTTTGTTATTTCAGAATTTGGAGTTGATTTTAAATAAATAGAGTTGCTACATTTATCATCTTTTTAATTGAAGTTACTGTGTAATTTTTCCTATAGCCATAAAATCTTTTTTGTATACTGATTTCTTTTTATAACATATAAACATTGTCACTGAGCCCTGTTGTGATAGCCTTATACTCAGAAGTTACTGAAAATAAAATGTTATTTTTCCTTAGGAAATGAAAATTAGGTGTAAGTTTAAGTAATTGTATTTTATGTCATAGAAGTGGTTTATTTCAGAATTCAGAAATTCGAAAACTTGATTAAGAGTTCTTGAAGAAGCATATTTTAATATTATTTTTTTAAATCTATGAGCCTAAGCTCTGTCCATTGAGGTTGTATAGGGAAATAACAATTGTTTAGGCATTATCAGGGAAAGTAAAATAATAAGGGAACTAGATATAGATGAAACATCTGATATCCGCATTTTGCTTTGTTCCAGGGACTAAATTTTTATTATTTTATTAATGTTTATCTGTATCTTTTTATTTCCAAAGTTTTGCAGGAGAAAGTTAGGCTTATTCGACAATCAGCCTTTAAATAAATAATGCTTAGTTATACCACGTAAAAGTTTTTCTTATGAATGTAAAATCATAAATATCAATGTACATTTAATAAGTATTACTTCAGGAATATGCTTTTTTTAAAAAAAATTTTTTTCTAGGCTTTTATAGACAACTTTCAAGCAGCCAAACAAGCCTTGACTGAGGCAACTGTTCAGGCAGCAGGAATGGCTGCTACTGGTGTAAAAGAGCTGGCACGAAGGAGTTCTAGAATGGCACTGGATGTTAACATCAAAGCCCCGGTTGTGGTCATCCCACAGTCTCCAGTTTCTGAAAATGTTTTTGTTGCTGATTTTGGACTAATTACAATGACAAATACATTCCATATGATAGCAGAGAGTCAGAGCAATCCCCCGCCTGTTATTGATTTGATAACAGTAAAACTGAGTGAAATGCGACTATACAGGTAAGCTTTTCCCAGGTGTATTTGTGTAGCATGCTGTCACCTTCTAACTCATTTGCTTTAAAGGCCTTGGTATTGTGAGTCTTCTGTTTACAATGGGATTTTATTTTAGTATAATTATATTAAATTTTTTAAAATTCTTTCTCCAAGTATTTTTTTGATCAATTATAGGCTTCTAGTTTTTAAAAACCTAGTTAAGTATTTGAAAATTGCTCTTTAGGTAGTAAGGAAAAGTATAAAATTTATTATTTAAGAAAACTTATTTGTGCTTTTTTGTAGTTCTTTGTAAATTATGAAGCTGTGGAAGAAATGGGGAATTTTGTAGTTCTTTGTGATTATAAGGCTATGGAAGATGTGAGAAAATATCTAATTTGTACATTTATTCACTTTGCAAGCACCGCATCACCCAAACTTAAATATCAGCTTTGTGCTGTGAATCTGATGCTCTGAAATTTTTTGGAATAGTAGAGTACAACCTTGTGTACTAATCAGTGGGGATAGGATTAAGAATTAGAGGAATAAATGAATATCCAGGTTTTCCCAGAGTTTTTACACTATTCACTCTGTGTTTCAGTTCTGTTTCTAAATACCTGTTCTGAATTTAGTGCCCTATTCCCTTTCCAACTCGGATCCATCTCTTTGTATACCTCTCATTTGCCCTCTTCTTTCCTTCTGACATTTTTCTTTGATCTCAATCTTTTGTCTATTCAAATTTATTTTTGCTTCATTTTTCACTTCCTAACGCCCTGTCTCTGCTTTTCTTTGACAGGCCTCTGGCTGGTCTGTCTTGCCCCCCTGCCCTTCCTTCCAATCAGTAGAGTATTTATAAAGCAGCTTTACTGAGATAATTGACATAAATTGCGTATATTTAAAGTATATAATTTGATAATTTTTGGTATGTATACACTTGAGACACAGTTTATGTAGATTACCATTCTTCCTTAAATTATTTCTTCCTTAAATATTTGGGACACTAGGGAAACTCTGTCTGCCTGGAGTTTTCCTATAGAAAGTTTTTAAACTACAATTTCTATTTCTTTAATAGATTTAACATTATTCAAGTTACCAGTTTTTTCTTGTGTGATCTTGGTAATTTTTTTTCAAGGAATTTGTCCATATCTTACTTGTAGAATTAATGACATAAAATTATTCATAATGTTCTCTTTTTCATTCATTAATACCTCTGGTGTCGCCTCCCTTCTTCCTGATATTGGTAATTGATGACTTTTTACTGATCATTTCTCGCTAGAGGTTTATCCATTTTATTGATCTTAAAGAACCAGCTTGTAGTTTTACTGTTTCTCTATTGTTTTTATGTTTTCTCTTTTATTGATTTCAGCTTAGAGCTTTATTCCTTCTGCTTATTTTGGATTTAATTTCGCCTTTTTTCTCATTTCTTTGTGTCGTAGCTGAGGTTATTGATTTGTAACGTTTCTTCTCTTCTAATATAGGTATTTAGTGGTATAAATTTCCCCATAAATACTGCTTTAGTGGCAAATTCTGATATATATTGTGTTTTCATTTTCACTCAGTTTAAAATACTTTCTAGTTTCTCTTTTGATTTTTTTTTTTCTTTTTATCCACGAATCAAAGTGTGTTATTTAGAATGCTTCCAGTATTGGAGAATTTTACAAGGATCTGTTATTAACTTCTAATTAAATTCTATTGTGATCAGAGAAAATACTTTCAATGCCTTGAATCCTTTTGAATTTATAGAGACTTGTTTCATGGCCCAGAATATGGTCTATCTTGTTAAGTGTTCTGTGTGCACTTAAAGACTGTATGTTCTGCTCTTGTGAAGAGTGTTCTATGACTGTCAGACAAGTCAAGTTGGTCTAAAATATCCTTGCTGATTTTTCTGCCTACTTGTTTTATTTGCTATTGGGAGAGAGCCATTAAAATCTCTGACAGTAATTGTGGATGTTTCTGTTTCTCCTTTCATTTCTATCAGTTTTTTTTTTTCATTATTAGCTTTCTTGAGATATAATTCACATACCATAAAATTCACTCATTCAAAGTATACAATTTAGTGGTCTTGAGTGTGTTCAGAGTTGTACAACTATCACCAGCATCTGATTCTAGAATGTTTTCATCACCCCCAAAAGAAATTCCATACCCATTAGTAGCCACTCCCATTACCCCACCCCCACAGCCACTGGAAACCACTATTTTACTTCTTGTCTCTGTGGATTTGCCTATTCTGGACATTTCATACATACCCATACAATATGTGGTCTTTAGTGACTGGCTCCTGTTGCTTAGCATAATGTTTCCAAGGTTCATCCATGTTATAGCATGTGTCAGTACTTCATTCCTTTTTATAACTAAATAATATTCCATTGTATGGATATAGCACATTTTATTTATCCATTCATCAGTTGATTGACATTTGGATTGTTTCCACTTTGAGGCTATTATAAATAATACTGCTGTGAGTATTTGTGTACAGAATTTTGTGTGGTCATGTTTTTAATTCTCTTGGGTATATACCTAGGACTAGAATTACTGAGTCATATGGTAACTCTGTGTTTAACTTTTTAAAAAAAATTTTTAAAAATAATTTATTTTTTTATTGTGATTATTGAGAATATGCACAGCAAAAATGTAGACCAGTTCAAGTTTCTACCTGTAGAATTCAGTGACGTTGATTATACTCTTTAAGTTATACAGCCATTCTCACCCTCCTTTTCCAAATTGCTTCTCCCTCCGTTAACATAAACTCACTCATCCCTAAGGTTCCTATCTTATCTTTTGAGTTGCTGTTGTCTGTTTGATCCCATGTAGATCTTAAAAGAGCAGAATGCTCAAGGCAGGCTTTATTTACAAGTTAAGCTAACTACTGTTTGGTTTTAAGAAGACTTCAGGGGATTTTTGGGTTTAAGATTTAAAGATTATCTCAGGGCAATAGTTTCAGGGTTCTTCCAGCCTCCATGGCTCCAGAAAGTCTAGAGTCCATGAGAATTTTAAATTCTGTTCTACATTTTCCCCCTTTTGCTCAGGATTCTATAGCATCTTTGATCAAAATATTCAGTAATGGTAGCTGGGCACCATCCAGTTTTTCTGGTCTCATGGCAAAGGAGACAGTTGTTCATGGAGGCAATTAGCCACACATTCCATTTTCTCCTCCTCTTCCTGACTCTCCTTTTTCCTTTGTTGTTGCAGGTGAATAGAGACCAATTGTTGTTCCTTGGATGGCTGCTTGCAAGCTTTTAAGACCCCAGGCACTATGCAAGGAACTAGAAGGTAGAAAGGAAGCACTAAACAATATTAGACCAATTAACTAGGATGTCCCATGAAACCATGACCCTATACCTCCAAACCAAGGAACCAAATCCCATGAGATGTTTGGTTGTACATAAGCAACCTCAGCAGCTACTCTTTATTTATTTGTTTTTTGATCATTGTTGTAAATAAATATATCTATCACACAACTTTTGCCAATTCAGCTTTTTACAGGTGTACAACTTACTGACTACAGTTACATCAATCAGCTGTGCAACCCTACCCTTAAATCAGTGTGATTCTTCCATCACTGTAAACTGAAACTCAGTACTCCATAAGCAATAATAATGGAATCTTTCTCCCAATTTCCCTTTCAGATTTTTCATTGCTAGTGTATAGAAACCCAGCTGATTTTTGTTTGTTGACCTTGTACCCTGCAACATTGCTAAATTCTTCCGTTAGCTCTGGAAGTTTTTTTGTGGGCTCTTTAGGATATTCTGTATATAGGATCATATCATCCATGAATGGAGATAATTTTACTTCTTCTTTTCCAATCTGGATACCTTTTATTTCTTTTTCTTGTCTGATTGTTCTGGCTATGACTTGTAATACAATATTGAATAGAAGTGTTTAGAATGGGCACCCTTGCCTTGTTCCTGATTTCAAGAGGAGAGCTCTTGGTGTTTCTCCATTAAGTATAATAGTAGCTGTTGGTTTTTTGTATATGTCCTGAATCATACTGAGGAATTTCCTTTCTATTCCAGTCTTCTTTAGGGTTTCATCAATAAAAGGTGTTGGATTTTATCAAATACTTCTTCTGCATCCATGGAGATGATCATATGGTTCTTTTCCTTTGTTCTATTTCTGTGGTCTGTTATGTTGCTTGATTTTCTAGCATTGAACCATCTCTGCATTCCTAGAATAAATCCCACTTGGTCATGGTGTATGACTTTTAACATGTTGTTAGATTCTGTTTGCTAGTATTTTGTTGAGATTTTTTGCATCTATATTCATAAGGGATATTGGCCTGTAGTTTTTTTTTTTTTTTTTTTTTTTTTCTGGTGTTGGTATCAGGGTTATGTTTGCTTCATAGGATGAATGAGGGAGTATTCTGTCCTTCTCTCTCCTTTAGAAGAGTTTAAACTGGATTGTTGTCACTTTTTTTCTCTAAATATTTGGTAGAATTCCCCAGTGAAGTCATCTGGTCCAGGACCTTTTTTTTTTTTTTTTTTTTTGGAGGCAGGGAGATTTTTGATCACTGATTCAGTCTGTTCACTTGTAATGAGTCTGTTAAGACTTTTTGTTTCCTCTTGAGTTAGTTTGGGTAGGTTATGTGCTTCTAAGAATTTGTCCATTTCATCTAGGTTATCCAGTTCGTTACTGTACAGTTGTCCATGATATTCCGTCATAATTCTCTTGATTTCTGTTGTGTCAGTAGTAATGTCTCTGCTTTCATTTCTTATTTTGGTTATTTGCATCTTTTCTCTTCTTTGTCAGTCTAGCTAAAGTTTGTAAATTTTATTGATTATTTCAAAGAACTAACTTCTGGTTTTGTTGATTCTCTCTATTGTTTTTCGGTTTTTTATTTAATTTCTGCCCCAGACTTTTTTTCTTTCTTATGGTAGGGTTAGGCTTAGTTTGATCTTCTCTTTCTAGTTCTTCAAGTTGTAGAGTTAGGTTGTTGATTTGAGATCTTTTTTCATGTATACATTTATTGCTATACCTTTCCCTCTGAGTACTGCCTTCGCTGCATCCCATAAATTTTGGTATTTTGTTCTTTC